CCCCAAAACCCCAAAACCCCAAAACCCCAAAACCCCTTAAATAAAATTCAAGTTGACATAATAATATTTATATTAAGTAAGTAAGTATTGACCTGACTAATACTTAATAGAAGTTTGGCAATGGGAAATACATCAGCTTGTCGAAAAACACAACCAAGAGTTGACCTGCTTGATAATCCGAAGAGGAAAAGCACTGCAGATGACTTTTTAGGACTCAATATTCACACTGTAAATTCATCTTTTCCAAAATAACTCAATGATTGATTTACTCACAAAGGATGAACTTAAGTATGAAAAGAAGAAATTATTCAGAAGCAAATTCACTTTTGGAGCCTGAAATATGGACAAGCCTGAATTTTTGATAGATAAGGGCAAACTACTTAAGAAAATCGAAAAATCTGCTCCTCTCGATAGTGACTGGGTTCGATATATTTATAGGAAAATGAATGCTCTAAACCAACATTATGAGGAGAAATTCTGATGGACTCCTCAACTGACTAAGTTTCTCTCTAAAAATGCTCTGAGATTCATGAAGGAGAGGGCAAAAATAGCTGAGCATTTTGGAAGCTCAACAAAGAGACCTCGGAATCAAAGGGAAGGCACTACTTCTCAATGGAAAGGCCTTGATACGACTCCTTCGAATGTAGTGAGGTTTACCTTCCTTAAGCAGCAATTAAAATCTAAAGAACACCCTATCAACCAGCTTATTGACGAATTTCATAATTGGAGTGAGAAGAAGTACTATTTCCTAACAGAATCTTCTGTTGAGCAAGAAGATGTAGACCAAGTTAAGGATGAAATTATCAGAAATACACAGCAATTTATAGCATTAATGTTCCTGACCACCATTAAGTTCTACCAGCTTACTATGAAAGATAACGAAAATAATAGGGATATCTTACTCGAGATTCTCACTGGACTTGTTGTCAGGAAAGATCTCTACTTGTGCATCTCCAAGACAATCACCTACTGTAAGAGTGCGGAGATAGACATTCTCGAGAGAAAAATGAGTATGGAAGAAAATGTCGATTTTGATAAGAGCGAGTACATCGCAGGAATTTCAGACATCTTCTCTTTCAGTGGCTCTAGGAAGTACAATAAAATGCTTCATATGAAGTCAGAACTGCCTGATACTTTATACCAGGATACTGAGTCACAGCTGAAGGAGGAGAAGACAAGTGGGAAGTATGCAAAATGAAGCAAAATGATCCGTAAACTTGCAGACATCGAAAACCCCTCCTCCAAAATCCAGCTCTTAATGCGTGTAACCGATCAAATAAAACAGGAAATCGACGACTATTGGGAAGGAATCTCGTTGGATATCGACGACAAACGTATCGATGCAGACAATATGGAGAAATTAATGGGGTACATCATTATCAAGTCAGGCTACCAACAAATCGTTGTTGACCTCACCATGATCGACTATTTTTCAGGAGAACATCTTGACTCCTGAATTAGTGGCTTCATCTATGTCTGAATTAGTAACTCAGTACAGCAAATTGTGAGAGACAGTTTCTTGTCTGATGATAAAGATTTTGAACGGAAGACACCTTGTTTCGTTAACAAAAAGAGCCAAAATGAATTCACAATGATGGCAAAGAACGAAGAGGAGCTACCTCCGCCTGACTTCACTTCCTCGTGTAAAAAACTGCTTCCTGATGCTTGTGAAGAAAAAGACATCGATCCCTTCGTTATTGAAGACAATTAAAATTTTCCGATATTAAGAGGTGAAACGATCATCTCATCTCAGGATACCAGTTTTTCGGTGAATTAGTTGATTCTACCATTTAATTATATTATCTTGGTGAAAAGACACAAAGGATTTTCAGCCACATCATCATAAAATTTCAGTGACCGGACAAAGAGAAACTACATATTGAGTCTCAGGCTTTACAGTTAGCTTCTTAGCCCTTGTAGGTTTTAGAAGTCTCTAGAGCCTCTTTTATTAATCCAGTCAAGCACAGATTTTAAGTTTAAAATCTTTGCTTTCTATGAATGAACGTAAATGGAAGAGGCTTAAGTCTAAGTACTCTAATGTGGACATCTCAGAGCTATTGGAACTTCAAAGGAAAGAGTCGACTAATTTTCAGGAAAACTATACAGATCCTGATCTTATAATAAACTATTTAAATTCATTTTCTCAACCATTGTTGCCCATCAGGGGTTTTGGGGTTTTGGGGTTTTGGGGTTTTGGGG